TTAAATATTGTCTGAAAACGGGCTAAAACATACAAATAAACATGACTTAGTTTATATGACAACTTAAGATTTTTTAAAGGAGGTTTGTACCCCAAACCCCACGCTAAACCTTACCTACACCTCATTGGTGGATGAGCAAATCGTGCTAAAATGTACGAATGACACTGTACAAATGAATACGAATTAGCCACTAAATCAAAGTTACGATTTGCCATGAGATTGCATTGGATCTTTGATTCCCATGCTATTCACAAACTTACCAAGGTTATGTTGACTGAAGCATCAGATAAACAGAATTTAATAAAAAAAAATATTGAAATGTATGCTATATATCTTTTTCTATATATCTTACAATCTTAAGCAATACATATATTGATACAATTGACTTGATTGATCTTTTGTCTATATTGATTTCAATTGAATTGTAGGCTAGAGAGTGTTTTTGTTTTTTACTGTTGTGACAGTAAACATCAGCACAAGCCTAAGGCTTTTTAAGCCATAATTAGCTACAGTCAGTAGGCTAAATTATTATTATTTTTAATCGCATAAGTGCAAGACATTCAAAAGTGTAAAAGGTTTCCAAAAAAAGCACTGTGCCTTTCTAAACAAAGGAATGCTATATATATGATATGTTTTTTCTTTTATTTTCCTTTTCATTCACAGAGATAGGCTAATACAGGTGCCTGATACATGTCTTTTGTTAAAGATGCCATTTGATATTAATTTAGCATTCTAATTTTATTATATAATGGCTAATAACTGGTCAAATATTAAATGAAACAAAAAATAAAATAACAAAAACGTCCCAAACTGTCACCAGTGGTGTTGTTGAAGTATGTTATATTTGTTGTGTTGCGCATGTTATATCTGACAATGATACATAGCCTATAACATGCTCTCACATTTATATATTTATTCCATTTTGGCAGGAGTGAATTTTGCATTAGTGGTTTCAACGAATAAATTCATTTAGACCGGTCCAGTTTCATCTGGAATTCTCTCCTGACCACATCTTGAAGTGGTTCAGATAGCAATAAGTAACTAGGTGTAAACAGGAAATTCACCTATATCTTGGATGAGTAGTTAAATTATAATTTATAATTTTTTGGGGTGAACTATCCCTTTAATGAGAGATAAGCCAAATGACTGCCACTTAAAGGAACACATAAAAAAAACCACATGGATCGTGCAGCATGCCCTCACATTGAAATGAATCCACAAGAAAAGAAAAACAGACCATTTCAAATAGCATGCTTTCAGACAAACGACACAATAAATGTGTTTAAATGCTTTTTAAATCAGCAGCAATTCAAAGCTTACCTCCATTTCACACCAGTCAAACAGGGACATCGGCCTAATTTCATACTAAATATAATTAGAAGCTTTTTAATTAATTTTAAAACATGAAAATAGAGTTTTCTTTTTTTGAGGAAGGGAACCATTCATAAGACAACACAAAATGATTAGGGAAACTAGGTTAGTGTCAAAGAAAGAGAGGAAGTAGATGGGGGAAATACAGACCAAGCAAATTTGAAAACATTTGGATCTCTTGAGAAATTGCAACACAGTGATTTTGCAATGCGAATGGCATTTCAGCTGCTGATACTATTTTAGACTTTTCAGAGGCAGAGATGGCTTTGTAATGTGGTTATGCATTCAGGAAACCCACTGTCAGACACATTAGATGTGATGTGTTGTTATATAAAAACACTAATGAGCGGGTGTTTCAGGTTTTTTATTCAACGTTTGACAAAGAAGAACAGAATGATTGCCTTTTTTCATATACAAGCACATATCATCCGTTCATTAGAACACAAAAAAAGTAGATCAATAAAATGTCAAATATATGCAATAAACCGAAACAATGGCAACAACGTGTAAAAATGACCTCTTCTAAAACACAAATTCCCACAATTTCTCAACCAGTTTCCTTTCTACATTCCTGAAAACCAGGTTTATGAACACATGCCAAGTAAATCAGCTCTAAAACAAGTAACACCTGATTATCACTTAGCCTTTTCAGTATAAGTGCTGCTGTCAGTCTATAAGTTATGTATAACAGCAAATATACCCACTGTATCTCCAAGCACATTCTTGACATTTCTTTAAGAATTCATTTCACTGCAATTATTTGCAGTAATTATTTAGGAGTATGAAATAATCTGACAATGAACCAGCTTTGGAATTTAATATCCAAATTGTATGTTAAATTCCATCGTAAGCAAACAAAATAAATAATTATACCCCCTGTTAAACATACTAAATTGTTTAATAATATTTTTTTTATTTAGCAAAAGTCAATAACTCATGTTAAGGCCTGTTCACAAGAATGATAACTAGAACAATAGCTTTATCAGTGTCCTATATTGTTTTTGTTTATTATTAGTACGCTCTGAAGTTTGGAGCTGTGCAGAAAAATCCTTTTATGGCCTGTTTCCTCTGAGTGGTACGGTGCAGTACCGTTCGGTACACTTTTATGGCTGTTTCTACTGCCAAACGTACCAAAAAGTGAACAGTACCACTGTTTTGGGTATTTTTTGCAAAGGGTACCTTGCACAACAAAAGAGTACCAAAAGTTAGCAATAGAGGCACAGCTGAACGCTATTGGATTACAGAGATACGTCACTACCGCACACAAGCAGGTGAATGAAAACTAAGAAACCACCATGTTTTAAATACAAAGCTCAGACATTACATCGCAATACTATATGCATAAAACAACTAATCATGGTCGACCCAAGCTCAAACAAACCTTGTCGCCGTCTTGATGAACAGCCACAAAGCCAAGAAGAACAAAGTCTGCCGTGTGCTGTTTTTGTTTTACAAGGCCGTCTAAAAGTGCGAGAGGTTTCACTTTTTCCTGAGAGCTGGTTTGCACTCACCGCACATCTATATTTGAATTAAGGAACTTCTTGAACTTATCATAATAACAACGTGTGTGTGATTATTGAAGTGCTTCTAGCATCCGATCCTCTCAGAAATGGACAAACGCAAGAGTGAAGCGCAAAAAAAAAACAAAGGAGCAAAAGATTTTTTCAGCAACCTAAAACATGAACAAACTGCCATGTTTAACTATTATCATCCCCTTTTGGACTATTATGAACTCGGAATGATGGAATTACTTTGGTACTCTTTAGGCAGTGAAAACGCAGGCCTGATAAAGGTGACTCGTACCGACCCGTACCGTACTGTACCACTCAGTGGAAATGGGCCATTAAAAATCAATTCTGCCTTAATTGTGAGATTTAATGAAGGATAAATTCTGATTGGCTGGTTGTTTTTTTAATCACTCACCAACTGTAAAATGTTGTTCCCGTTATCATCTTTGGTGTAATGTACTTAAAATAAAATTTAATAAAAATATGTATCTGTAACAGTAATGAACCATTTTACTGAATGGTTGTCAGTGCTCTTAAAATGTTAACCAGGAAAGGACAGGGGAATCTGTAGATAAATCTTAACAATTAAAGGGGTCCTTTTATGCCCTTTTTACAAGCTGTAATGTCTGGCTTACAAAAAATGTGACTTTAGTGTCATCTTAAAAGATCCCAAAAATCATTTATTATAGCATGGTTTAATAATAAATGGCTATTTAACTGAAAGTAAAAATACTGTTTTGTTTCTGGATCTTAAAGTCCACGTTAACCGAAAATAGCTGAGACTTTAATTTCAGTTTGCTGATGTCTTTCCAGCTGAAGCAGAATATTGAGTAAGGGGAGGGGTTTCTCGTTTTGTGGATCATTCCTTTATGGCAAACTAATGGTAAGGGGGCGTGGTTAAAATATTCGCTTGATAAAGCCTGATTTATACTTCTGCGTCAAACGCCGGCATATGCTACGGCGCTGACGCATAGCCCTTCGCCGTGGCCGTCGGCGTGGCTGACGTGCACCTCTCAAAAATTGTAACTACACGTCGCAACGACACGTAGCGCAAGCTCTGTGATTGGTCGGCTTGGTTGCGCTGACGAGTCTGGGCGGGACCGAGAGCCGCGCGAATGGCGCGAGCCCAATGGAGCGATTGTTTACAAGTGTGGAGTCCCGTGAAGGAGCTCTGGATGGAAAGTTTTGTTCTGTATTTACCTCATAGTTAAAGTTGTTCCACGTCCGCCGGTTCCTGCCTCAAAATGAGCGAGTTTGAGTCACTTGTACAACCAGGAAGTGTTCAGGAAAAGCAAAACAAAAGCGAAGAAACTCGACACAGAGGAACATTTACACCTTACTGCCAACTAGCGTTTCGGAAGTGTTAATGGAGACCAACAGAGACAGCGCACAGAAGTATAAATGCACAGCCACGCGCGTTGCATGCGCCGTGGGTTACGCCGGTCACTTGACGCAGAAGTATAAATCAGGCTTAAGTGTGACATCATGCGAAGCGACTTTATCTATTATCTTTGTAATAATCCCTATACAGTTTGATATACTGATTTTTTAAATAATAATAATAATAATAATAGTAATAATAATAATTCCTTACATTTATATAGCACTTTTCTTGACACTCAAAGCACTTTACACATTGGGGGGAAATCTTCTCATCCACCACCAGTGTGCAGTATCCACCTGGGTGACATGATGGTAGCCATATTGCACTAGACATCGGACCACACACCAGCTGATAGGTGGAGAGGAGACGAAGAGGAGGCGAGAGAAGGTGATGAAGCCAATTATGGTATGGGGAGGGTTAAGAGGCCATGATAGACAGAGGGCAGTGCATGCCGGGGTTAAACCCCTCCTCTTTTTCCCAAGGAAAAAGAGGAGTCTTATCGACCGCAGAGAGTCGGGACAAGTATAGAGTCCCCTTCACTATACTGGAGTGATAGGACCCACACAGTCCACAAGTTGGGTGCCCCTGCTGGCCTCTCTAACACCACTTCCGGCAGCCTGGCTTTGCTATGTGGTCTCCTATCCACGTACAGACCGGGCACAGCCCTGCTTAGCTTCAGTGAGTGACCCTGTGAGGGTTGCAGAGAGCTAGCAGCCGGCTAATAATAAACATTTACAATGCACTGTATTACTTTCGAAAATCACCATTGCAATATATCACGTGTATACCATGATTTTTAAAATAAAATTCACTTTAAATGTATGATATGACTGAAAAGTGGTCATAAACAAATATTTTCTCAATTACAATTAGTAGCGGCTTGGACCTGGAAACTGTATTATATATGTGACCAATAGGTCATGATTTTAAAAAGTGGACAGTGGCAGAAGCTGTCAAACTGACCTCAAAAGTGAAGAACTGTCACTCCAGAAGTAAAAGCAAAATTAACTTGCACTGATTAATTGTTTACCTAAAGAATAGCAATGTGCGCTAGCAAAATAAAACATTGTAAATGTTGATTTCACACAGACTTTAAATCCAAATTAGCAGCTGCTTCATGACACATTTCCAGAAGAGGATGGAGCTGCTTATGTTTTAAAGCCTTTAAAATGCCCACTTTTATGCTACATGCCAGGATTTGTAAACGGAAGTAGAGCAATGCAAATGACAGTGTAAAGTCACGTCACAGTGAAAACATGGCACATGTAGTATCTTCAAATTTCATTTATACTACACACGGCCACACATTATAAACAGTATATAACGATCATGATGTATGATATTGATCATTTTGGAATGTCTCTAATACATACAAGCTTATAAGCACTCACAAATACACAAGCTGACATAATATTAGTAATGCATGGACACGGGTTATGCATCAGTTTACTAGATTGGTAAAACTGTGTCTCTCAGACATACATCTAAATAGTCTAATGTTTACGAGTAAAAAAAACAACAACCCCGCATGACTACATTGGAGGCATTAGAAAGGAGTTCAGAAACGCTGCTTATTGATATAATGGCTCTTTTTAAGAATGTGGACTTTATGGATCTTTTTTATAGCTAATGTGCGTTTGGGAATGTAAATGGCATAATAAGACCCCTTTAAAAGTACTTTAAGACAGTAGCTTATCATTTAGGGCGACATTCTGAGATTACAGCAGTGATTATATTAGCATAAACGCATGTGTATTATCTGTGCATCATCCGTCTTCATTTCCGTGTAGCTCAGCAGAGATTAGGACATGATAAAGCTTCCACTTCATGGCTGTACTTGAAATAAATATGAGCATACAAATGTTTGAAAATAAATGAGTAGTTCGCTGAAAAAAAAAAAAAAAAACTAAACAAGATAATAAAGGTGATTTAGTCTCACTGGCGAATGCTCTGGTCAAATCAGGATAAAGAAGGGAAAAGACGCTGTTTATAAGCGCAGTCCAAGTGCACATGAGTCTCTAGCTTAAAAGCTTCCTGAGCTCAGACCACATACTGGTAGGGGTCGGCTTTTCCGTGGTCGGGTGTAGAAAACGGGCTAAACCATGCTATCGAGAAGGGGTGTCCGAATACCGCCTTCATGTTCATCCATTTTGTTTTTTTAGCCCATCTTCTCTCTTCCTTTTTCAACTGCTCTATACCCTAAAAACAAGAGATAACCGAGACTTCAGAGTGTGTGTGAATAGTATTTAAATAAAGTGAAAAGAACAACTGACCCATTCCATAAAACACAGGTTTTTTTCTCAGAAGACTTTATGTAATGCCATTACATTTAGGTTTAGAATAGAATATTATACATGTTAATTCTGGTTTGTCCAAGCGGGAAAATGGGTCAAATTGAGCACACTATTTTTGGATCATGGGTTGTATCCAGGACTTATGATGGGAATATGTTAACCCTTTTCTTTTCTAAAATATGCTTTAAGTTTATATTATTAATCTGAAAAAGAAAAGTCAGGTTAAAAACACTGCACTGTGGAACATTAGCATAGTGAACTCATCATAGACTACCTTTAAAAAGTTTGGGGTTGGTATGACTTTTTTTTCACTGTCTCTTAAGCTTGCCAAGGCTACATTTCTTACAATGATCAGTGGTTAAACAGTTGTACCATAAATATTATTGTAAAAGCCACAATACTCCTTTTAAAATACTTCAATGCATAGAAAGCTCTAAAGAGCAGCATAAATGAAAGGCATCCTGACCCCAAGCTTTTGAACAGTAGTTTAAATGCAGAAAAACAGTAAGCTAAAAGTAGTATTAAAGTATGCGGTTCCAACAAGATAGTACAATAGACTTGCAACTTTCAAAGCCATCAAGTGAACACAGTGCAGACCCACACTACAACAAACAGAATCTGAAGACAGTGCCAAGAAAACACTCTCCTCAGAATAAGATTTTAAAAATTTGAATTTAAAGGACAGGAATATACAGTCACAGGCCATTTTATTAGGTACACCTTGTTAGTATCTGGATGACCTTCTTGCTGTGAGGCGATTGTGCTTAAAACATATGATAATAAGCGAAATGTAATCTTGATATGAGAGCCAGATCTTCCATGATGAAAATTTCCCATTCAACAACATTCAAAACTTTCTGCGCTGGATTGATATTTAGTGACTGTGGAGGCCATTTTGCGTTTACTGAACTAATTGTTATTTACAAGGATCCAGGTTGAGACGAATGGAAGTTTGTGGCAAAAAGCAATATCGTGTTTAAAGTAGCAATTAGAAGGTAAGCACACTGAGGTCATGAAGGGATGGACATGGTTAGTAACAACACTTAGGTAGGCTGTAGCGTTTAAACGGAGTTGGTAGCAAGGAGCCCAAAGTTGCCATTAAAACATTAAGACACCATTACACCAGTCCCTTGAACCAAACCTCATCAGACCTGAAAACATTTCTCTAATCTTCTACCGTCCAATTTGTGGTGAGCCCATGTGAACTGTGGCCTCAGTTTCACATCTGCTTCAAAGTTTTGCATTCAGAGATGCATTTCTTTATACCTCAGTTGTTACAAAAGTAGTTATTGGAGTTACTGTTGTCTCTCTATCAGATTAAACCAGATTGGTTATTCTCCTCTGACAAAATCAAAGCATTTTTGTCCACAGAAGTGCTTCTCACTGGAAATTTTCTCTTTTTCTGACCACTGCAAATCCTACTGATCACTGTGTGTGAATATCAGAGATCAGCAGTTTCTGAAATACTCAAAACAGCCCGTCTTGCACCAACGAACAAGCAATGTTTAAAAGTCACTTTTCGTCCTCTTCAGAACTTCAGAAAATCCTCTTGTCCAAGTCATATAAATATGAAGCTGCACAACGCCTTAACATTTTTGGTGTCTGTTAAGTTGCTAATATCAAACTGAAAATAGCAGTTCCTTATATCATGTTTTCATTTTATTGTCAAGACGAGAATGAGGTTATAAAGTACATTGTTCCATTTGAAGATTTACCCAAAGTGTTTGCTTTTCATATCAAACTTGCGAAGTCTGAACTTAAGAAAAGGGCGCAAGACTGAACTTTGTGTATATTAAGAAAAAGCCCCAATCAGATAGACGACTGTCGGCAGCCACACCTCAGTTTTCCCCCATCCACACTGACACGGAGCAGCAGCATTTTAAAACCAAAACGGTCTTTTTAACGTTTCCAAAACGCTCCATTTTCGGGACTCGAAAACTCCGGGGATGTGTGGACGTAACCGTAGCAAAACATATGTGTTTAAAAACAAAAACGTATTAGTGTAAACGGGGCCTATGATGCTGTCATGTAATTGGCTAATCAGCAGCCAGTCTGAGCAGTTGAACAGGTGTACCCATTAAAGTGACCGCTGAGTGTATGAGAGTTGTGTTTTCCAAAGTCAGAAGTTCACAAAACTAAAGTCATTTTTCCACTCCATGGTATGATGTGGTTTGGTTTGGCTCACTTTTGGGGGCTTTTTCACTGCTTTCTGCACCCATTTCCACACTTTTTAAGTACCACCTCTGGTGAGGATCCACGCAACCTAAACCATTACCAACACATGACATATACACTGCTGATCAGCGATTGGTCAGAAAGAATTGTCACTAACAGTGTCATTGAATTCGCAACACAAGACACCAAACCAGCTAGATTTCACTAGTAAGAAGCAGCCACTGCTGTATTGTTGGTTATTATATCTTAATAGTTTTTATACCAATCTAGAAATTTGTCTAAAATTTGATCAATTATGTAACAGCAGTAGAGGCAGCGCAACTATAGCGATAATCCAACCCACTTTAAAGTCAGCATGAAACCAAGGTTTGCTCTTTTTTTTATTTGTATATAGTAGTGCTTGTTATACGCAATGTATCTGTGCACTTGATTATATGGTTAAAACTAATTTTGCCTTCAAAATCTTTAATCAAATACCATAACCTTCCCTCTCCCCTTGAAACAACTTTTCTTCTCTAATGGTCACATGAAATGCCTTTAGGGCGTGTCTATCAGTGCAGGTCTCGTTTCTGCCCCGCCTTTGCAGAAGCCAGTGGCTCAAATTAATCTAACACGATTTGTAAAATTTTACTCCTCGTTCTCATTATTATCAGGCATTTGAAAACATCCAATGGTAATTCTTGTGGATGGAAATCAGCCTGGCAAACAGGCATTCAAATATTTTCTTCCATTTTGTTAGCAGCGCCAATCTTCCAATGATCCAATCAGTTCCCAAAGGAAAAAATCATGCACTGCCTTATATTTTTCTCATTTCAGAAAACAATTCATTAGTCAAAATTGGTGTGACATGGACGTTAGGACTGTCTTTGAATTTTAAGTAGCACTAAATTGCAGTGGAAATGCAAACAGAGCCGAAAAAAACAAATCTAAGTGAGCTGAGCCGTGCCAAACCATATTGTACCACGCAGTGGAAAAGTGGCTTATGTGTTATACAAGTATACTGCCAAAAGGACCTATAATGCAAACTTAAATTCTGCACATAGTAACGTTTTATTATTAACTAACCAATCACGGTATGTGCTGAAGAACCAGTGTGAATATATGCTAGATTTCTGCTGTTCAATACCAGATGAACATGTGTTACATTTCACTCCAGGCACCATAGCATTTTTGGTGAAGCTGTCTGCATGTGTTAACCTAAAAATAACAAAGCATAACAGTCCACAAGCATCACCTCCACCACGTTCGCCCACTGCCGGGAAAGAAAAATGGTTTCTTACCGTCTCATCTGTGCAGATGGAATGGACTTGGGTGCCAAACATCACAGAGGTGAAGATGAGGAAGAGGAGGCCCTCAAAGCACAGGAGGATGAGGAGGATGACGGTGGCAGGAGGGGAGAAGGTACTGCACTCTGGGGTCAGGAGGGGAAAGGGAACAGCCTTAACTCAGATACAGTAAATGCTAGTGCAACTATACTATTCTAGCTTCATTTGAACTAATTCATTAACTAAAAGGGGGGGGAAGGGTTTGTGGTATGAATAACTGGAAGCACATCTATATTTGTATGTGCAAACTGGGCCACACAACACGCATGGAAAGCATCTAAACACATTAGCACATGGGTTAAAAGGTTTGATCTTTTAGCCAAGCCTGCCTAGGACACAGTTGTTTTTAGATTGGCATAATTGGGTCAACGATTAGATGTACCATTTTGGTGCTGCTGGCATTAAAATAAATTGAAATTTCAGTTGATCCAATCATAGTGTACATGGGTTTTTAATTATCATTGTTATTAATTAGCTATTAAAAAGTAAATTGCTGATTATAATTGAGATAAGAGAATGCATTCATTATTTTGAATACATGGAAGAAAAGGAATTGGACTTGAAAATGGCTTGTACTCATAAGACAATAAGCACAAAAGCAGCAAACACATTGCTTTAAACCAGGCATGTCCAAACTCGATCCTGGAGGGCCGGTGTCCGGCAAAGTTTAGTTCCAACCCCAAACAGACACACCTGGGTTAGCTAATTAAGCTCTTACCAGGCTTTCTAGAAACATCCTTGCAGGTATGTTGAGTCAAGTTGGAGCTAAAATCTACAGGACACCGGCCTTCCAGGAGCGAGTTTGGACACCCCTTCTATAAACAGTCATTAATCTGTAAATACAGCTCAGGACGTTCGCAGAAGATAACATTATTCTGCATTATTAGTTGTTTTTTAAAGGTAAATAAAGGTGTAGGTTATACAGTTCGTTGTTAATTGCAGAGCTATTCTAAAAAAGAAGAAGAAAAAAAAACCTGCCAGATCTGAAAGAGATCAAGCCTGGTCATTTGAACCATTTAATAATTAGGCTCTGGAATCCAAATGTGAAAACATATGTCCTAAACAAATAAATAATAATAATGGTAAATGTAAAAACAACTAGAAAAAAGTAACAAATTTAATTTAATTTGTTAGGCACCAACATTAAAATATACTATAGCAGTTTACAGTAAATACCATACAGTTTTTTTTAACCATAATAAAGTTAAAGAGGTTGCCCAATCAGCTAAAATGTTGCTGATATCGTTTTTTTGTACGGTATATATTGGACCATCAAAAACAGAGTTTCTGCAGGTTTCCTCAAATCAAATTTAAAGACTTTAAGACCCTTTTAAGACCATCATGAATGACTGATTTTTTTTAACAGCCTGGTTACTTCTGTAAATAGTTTTTGTATTAATGGAAGATCATGTAAAGGGATGTGTTGCTTTAGTTTTTTTTTTCCCTGATTCCGTAATTTAATTTGGAGAATTTGCTGTAAAAATGTCTAACAGCTGTTGTGTATTGTATCTCTTTGCAATAAAAAAAAACCCTTAAATATATGTACTGTATATAACCACGGCTCAGTTGCCATTTCTGTGAGGAGTTTGCATGTTCTCCCTGCGTTCGCGTAAGTTTCCTCCGGGTGCTCCGGTTTCCCCCACAGTCCAAAGACATGCGGTACAGGTGAATTGGGTAGGCTAAATTGTCTGTAGTGTATGAGTGTGTGTGTGAATGTGTGTGTGGATGTTTCCCAGAGATGGGTTGCGGTTGGAAGGGCATCCGCTGCGTAAAAACTTGCTGGATAAGTAGGCGGTTCATTCCGCTGTGGCGACCCCGGATTAATAAAAGGACTAAGCCGACAAGAAAATTAATGAATGAATGATATGTATAAAAATAAGAAGTTTTGAGATGTTGGCCAGATTGGCTAGCTTTTCATAGACATAGGGAAATTACGACCTGTTAAAAATGATTTAAGACCTACAACACAGTACTTCAGTTAATTTTAAACTTTTAGGCCAAAAATTTAGCTTTTTAAAATGTAAACTTTAAGATGCTGCGGACACCCTGAAAAATGATTGAAGTCATGTCCATGTGTTGTGCGTTAAGTCGAAATATTGATTATGGTGACAGGTCTATTTCTATCCACCATTTTTTAAAAGGGACACTGAAAAAAAAACTGTCTCTCTTTTCAATAGTATCTAACAGTTTTTCCTGTTCACTTGGCGTTCACACAGTCACTGTTAAAGTAAAAATACAAAGCAACTAAAAAAACAAAAATAGAATATAACACTTACTGAACATTAAAAACCATGCTGCATGCTGGGCTCAACACTAGTTTTAAAAGAATACAACCACATGTACACACACACACACATGTTGCAAATTCAGGAAGAGCTTATTAAAATGTTTAAAGGTGTCAAAACAATGGTAGAAATTTCTCTGTCACACACAAAAATGTATCTGACTATATAAACTATAATGAACACATCACTATGACCAAATCAACCATTTTACGGTCCATCTTTTGAAATAATGATCTTTATGGTTAATTTTATTTTTATTTCACAGCGAACACATGCTAAATACCTCCATAAAGAACTGCTTTCAACATTAAAGGGTAAGTTCACGCAATAATTTGTGTTCACAAATTTTTTTTAGCCTGCAAAGTTTTCTTGGTTTTTATGATTAGAGTTGAAGCACATGGTAAATTGAGACAATGTTATGGTGCCTTTTCTAGACTTTGAATGTCTCGGGACCATTGCTGTTTATGGAGGACGAGAGAGAGCTCTCGAATTTCATCTAAAATATCTTAATTTGTGTTCAGAAGATGAATAAAGGGTCTCAGGGGATTAAACCAACATGATGAGAACATGATGGGAAACTAACCCTTTAGACATCATAATTAAACAATAAATTAAGCCTAAAACTTTAAAACTCTTCTTCTTGAGATCCACCCTCATTCAAAGTGCATTTCTAACCTGCTTCTGCATAACTGCCCGAGTATTTACAAATGATCCTGAAATTCTTGATTTGCTGCTCGGGTAAGTTTTATTTAGTTTGACTTAGAAACTAAACTATGCAGGATAATCAGTCCTCAGAAGCAGGGTTGAAAGTCTCGTCATTAAACATGAAAATGCATTTCTGATAATTATAAAAATCCAAAGTTGGACAAATTTTCAAGAAAAGTATAATTGGAGCTGTGATAGTATTTTGTGTCCATACTAAAGAGCCCATCTGTGCTCATTCACTTTGAATCCAGCTTACATCGTTTGGTTATAAACCCTCCACTTCTTCATTGCCTGACCTTTAAACACTCTTTAAACCAATAAAAGTGCCATTCAATTTACATAATATTGCATGTTTGTTACAAAAAGCAATGCATTTTTGTCACACATCATGTTAGAAAAATTTTAATTAGCCTTATCAAAGTGTTTTATCTCCGAAAAGGATGCAAAACTTGTTTTTTTTTACACTGTAATGCATCAAATTAAATAAAACTAAACAAAATCCCAAGTAAGTTCATGAGAATGTATTAAAAAGGATAACAACAGACTGTCTCTGTGAGTAGTTCTTATCTGTATGCAGAGACAGGACTTTTCTTTTTTTTTCCCAGTAGATAACACTCTTAATTGCATGTTTGCACTCCGACCCTGTCATCTAGAGGTCACGTGGGTCAAGTTATCGGTCTTGCTAATAATAACTACAATAACAACAGCTTCTTTCACTTACTTGTCCAGTCATCTTCAAAGCAGTTGAGGAAATGAAAAACCACCATGACCAAGGAATGCAGGGAGATCAGGCAAATGTACATCTGAAAAACACATCAGCACCAGAATTAGATGTTTGTTTGTGATGGTTTACAATAGTCAGAATTCCTCATTTGTAAGCCCCTCTAGATTATTTCATCTGGAAAAAAAAATAAAAAATTTTAAAAAGTGGAATGCACTGATATGATTGTTTTGGCCGATACAATACCAAAATAAAACAATAGAAACCTTATAAACAATTCTGATATTAGTCAGTTGGATACAGTATTATATATTACCAGCGAGTACTTTCTCCATTAAATTCATTTTACTGAATATGTATTGGATCCATTTAACATTCAACTTTAATTCAACAATCCCAACATTTAGAAAGAGGCACAAATTAAAGGGTCAGGAAACACCAAAACACCTTTTTTTGAGCTGTTGACCATCATATATGTGTCCCACGCTGCTAAAAGAACACTATTAGGACACACATATTTCCCTAAAAAAGTGAAAATTGGTTGTATTTGTGTGGTTTCGAGCAAATTCTTTTGAAAATAAATTTTTAAAGCAACTTCATGGCAATGAGATCCTTGTGTAAATTTCAGCGTGTAGACTGGACGCCCCTACCAGCATAACGTCTTTAGGTTTTTAGCATTAATTCATGAGGAAGACTTGGTTCGAACCAATCAGCGCACTTTGTGAATAAGATGCAACTTCAGTAATATGCATGATATAGCTTTAAAGTTTTACCCATTACAGTGTTTAGAGAGATGCCACATTGTTTTGCCAACCGTAATTAAAACAAGCGGAAGAAGAAGAATTGTTTGGAGACATGGGTCATCAGTGTTGCGTTTATAAATGTGCTGCAACGAAAGTTTTGTTTCCATTTTCCCACAATGCGAGCACCTCTGCGTGTGGACCCACATTTGTGGATTACAGTGGTCTGTAAACACGCAACAAAAATATGTTTGTAAGGAAAACAAGAGCTTTTTGCATCTGGAAAAAGTGAAATCCGGATTTGCCACTTTTAAAAAAAGACCCGGTTTTAGTTGGTGTTGATTGTCCTGTCTCTACAGACTAGGTAAGTGTGTGATCAGTGTTCTTAGTTTGTTTATTCAGAGACAAAAGTTAGTTAGTATCGTCAACAGTACTCTTTCAGTTTTTAAAGACATTCCTTAGTCAAACTGATAGTTACTAAGGTGACTGTAATATCACTACAATATTATGGACTGAAAGATCTGCTGTAAATGCTGCTCTCTGAATGTACACATGTAAAGAAACTTAATCAAACTTTTTTTTTTTTTTACCTTTTTGATTACCTTTTTTTTACCTTTATCAAACTATTACCGTCATGTGGGATTTTCGCTGCATTCTGTGACAGAATAGTCTATACACACACATACAGCTGTTTGACGCTATTCTCTTCACCTACTGAGAAATGTGGAGGTTTTTTTCTCCAATATGGCATACGGTTTCAAAAATTCTATTAAAACTACACTCTTCCAGCAGTTCCTCGCATCCAATATCTCGTTTATCACAGGGGACATGCATGAAATGTTCCTGAATGAAAGTGATGGTGCCAAACTGCAGTTAAAGTCGACAAATAAAGAATGAAAAACCCAAATTACATTAAAATCAGGAAGAAATGTGGATAACATCGCAATGTTGCAATGATTTTAATTGAATTATGTGCTATAATATGCCAAATGTGATCATAAACGGAACATTCAAAAAGCAGCTCATGTAAACACCTTAATCATAATATTGTCTTATTCAGATTAAGGCAAATCATTTGATTACTGATGTCCATGTAAACGTAGTCACTGTCTTTCTCCCCTTCATCTGTGTTGACGCTGTGAAAATCAGCTGTAGTGCATGTGCATGTAGTACATATACTGAAACTCCCCTTTTTCATGCAAACTAGTCCCTCTTTCATCACTTGACACTCCCACCTAAATAAAGCTAGACTCACCCACTAAAATGAATGGAAGTGAATGAGAACGGAAGTCTTGACCTAATAAAATTCAAATGGCTGCGCCCACTCGTACGCAAAGAATAAGTTGAATAGCAGACACTGTAAAAAGGTCATTCCCAGCCACTTGACTTTTCTGACAGGGTATTCGAGTGTCAAAATGTTGTGGGACTGCTATACAGGAGTTAAGATTATGGATTATAGATAGCGAAATTTAGTGGTTTTTATTTTAGCGTTTTATATATATTTTTTAAACATGACGGTAAAAGTTCTTAATAATGGCAAAAAATACTCATTTGTGCATCTCTTTCCATGTGCCGCCACGTTGCTGCTGTAGCTGGTGTATTCTGGGAAATTTTCATACCCCATGCTTTAAAACAGAGGTCACCAAACTTGTTCCTGGAGGTCCGGTGTCCTGCAGATTTTAGCTCCAACCCTAATCAAACACACCTGAACAAGCTAATCAAGGTCTTACTAGGTATACTTGAAACAACCAGGCAGGTGTGTTAAGGCAAGTTGGAGCTGAACCCTGCAGGGACATCGGCCCTCCAGGACTGTGATTGGTGACCCCTGGTTTAAAGTGTGGTCCTGAAAAATCTGTTTCAAGGGGTCTCTAGCTTTTACCCTCAGCCCTATGCCTTTAAGCTAAAAAGAATTGGGACACCCCTACCCCATCACGTGAACGAGCAAACAAGGGGAAGGGCTAATGGGTAGAATTGGGATTGGGCCAAAGTGTACTTTGAACATCTGTGCATTTGACTGCATTAAAAAAAAGTGTACACTTATAATGTTGTTATGTTGCAGCATTGTTAGAAGTGTGCATTACAAGCATATTTCGCTACTTACTGTGAAAAGCACAAAGTACTTCTGGTTATTTTCCCCGACACAATTGTTAACCCAAGGGCAATGATGATCCATCTTGCGTATACAGCGCTTACAAACACTAAAACCAGATTAAAAAAAGTGCAGAAAAAGAAGAGAGGAAAGAAAGTCACCAAAACAAGGGAATGACAGCTGTTTCTAACTTAATCAGTGGTTTGAAGAAAAACATTCAGCTTCATACTGCAACATTTCTAAAATCATCCCAAATGTAGCACACACACACACACACACACACACACACACACACACACACACACACACACACACACACACACACACACACACACACACACACACACAAAAAGAACCTATTAATATGATCATGATGAATACGAAGCATCTACGCCTCCATATGCTCCTCTCTCACCTGCAGTGGTGAGCTCTATCCGGCTTAATACTGCAGCACTTGGGACATTTGTAAACCACCTGGCCTGGCTTCAGCTGCAAACTCTCGATGTACTCCTTGGTGGCATTGCCCTTTGGCACAGCTCCCTAAGAAAACATCAGGCAACTCAGCAACGTTTGAATAGTGTATGGAAAACTGCATTTTGTTCATGGCATGTCTTATGCTCTGTTATCTGCTAAGATTTGATACCAACTCAATTCAAACTAATATTAGTTTGTTGGTTTATAGTTCACATGAATGGCACTGTAGGATTTTATCTTGGCTGCCTTTATCCGTGCACAATCAAAGCATTTATTATTGTGTGTAAAACCTACAGGGTCGGTGCACATGGCTCTGAAATGCGAGGCCAAGGCGAGGAAGGCCAGGCTGTTGAACAGGGTGCCGTTCACCAGGCTGTATGTGAGGTTTTTGGATGGAATCAGCATGACGAACAGCACAACGAACTCAGCGAAGAAGACGAGAAACCAGGTGATGATCGCACACACGATACCACAGGCGTCTTTGATGAACCACATGCTGCTCTGACGCTCATGACAGGAAGGAAGACACTGTGGGGGCTGAAGGCCACTGGCCTGCCTCTCGACGTCCCTGAAGCGCGGCACTGGACTTCTCATCCTACCACAGAGATGCCATCCTAAAGAAAAACAGACAAAGATGGATACACTCTTAAAAATAAAAACTTTTTAAAAGGACATTTCTGAAAATATTATAATTAAAAATATATATATTTATTTATTGTCATGTCAGCAACAAAGGCTATTTTCATGGCAGGAGAACTGTGTTGGCTCAGTCCCTTTATTAATCAGGGGTCGCCACACCACAATGAACCACCAACTTATCCAGCATATGTTTTACACAGCGAATGCCTTTCCATGTGAAACCCATCACTGGAAAACATGGCAGGAACCTTTCATTACTAAATATACATTTAAAAACAACAAACAAATGAGTACATAAATTAAATAATATTTGAGTTAATACATGATAAAAATTCTAACATTTTTTTCTGGTGACACTTTGCTAAAAATAACCTTAAGAGAGTTAATTTTAATAGAAAAAGCCTTTTGCAGTCATTAAAAGCAGGTCAGTAGAATGTCCTTTATTGTAAGAGGAAGTGTGCAGAACAAACACTGAGTAGGGTCTTCACCTTTAAACCAAAAACTTGAGTTATTTTTGTGTCCAATACGACATCTGGTAAAAATCTTGCATCCCCATTCGCATACTATCTGTCCTAAATAGTATTTGATCATGTCCCAAATCGTAGTATGTTGAAAAGAGTTTGCCAGAGGTTTCCGGATGGTTTACTACTTCCGGTCAAAACTTTAAGTATAGAACCGTCCAGACTCTAACCGCCGATATTGGCCACAATACATTGTGCGTTGAATGTGAATTCGATTAGAACTACAAACGCAGGTGAAAAGTGTCAATAAACTACAAACATAAGAGAAGCGTGAGACCAACTGTTAAGTAGAGAGGCTTCAGTAAAGATATTTGTATTGTATAACTGTTCATTAATATCTAGCCAACTGGAAACTATTTAAATCGCATTTTCTGTGTTATAATTCATCTGCAACAACAATACTGAACTTATATAAAGATGTGTTCAGACATTAACATCTGAATGGATAATTATCCAAAGACTTGAGGAGATTTCTCTGCATGAAAGACTTGTGAATGGGAGATTAACCTGCTGCTGCTTCTCCTAAAAAGGAAAATAGGAATAGGAAATATGAATAGGAAATTGAATATGAAAGAAATGTGGATGATGTGTGGGTGATTGACATGGCTCATAACTAAGCAACAGAACGATCTGTTAACGAGAAAGTCGTATGCCCCAAATCTTGCATACTCTTCTGTTAGACACTCAAAAGCATAGATTTTTCTTTCAGAAAAAAGGTACATATTTTTAGGGCATAGTATAAGTATGCGAATTGGGTCGCAGCACTAGTCTTAACACATTAAAACTCTGTTTGAGATTTCAGGTTGTGTTTAATACTATTTGTTATTTTTCTATGTATCATACTCCTCCTGCCACTTATTTAAAGTGTAAACATTAATAGAAGGTCTGATCTCTGAGGGAGTGATTTGACATTTGTTCACCACTCGTTTCAAAGCTTGTTCTAAAAGGAAACATTTCTTATCGTGAAGAAAATTAATCTAAAGAAATTAATTAATATTTTAAACAAAACAATAAAAAATACTGAAAAAGTTTTTCAGTTTCTCTGGATGTCCAAACAACACAACACGGCATGTTAAATGGTATCTTTTCTGTGTTTTTTGTCCAAACCATCTGCAATGGCGAAGCATAAAATTTCTATTTTTGAAATTCTTTCAATATCTGCGACGTTGCAGCAGAACAACACCCAATACTAATATGGCAATGATCACCTCAGGTTCAGATTATGTGCTTTATTCAGTGTTAAATGCTAACAAAGTGAGTTTAAATACCATTTTATGTGACACGTATTGCCATACTGAAAGCAAAAGCATATAGTTCACCTCAGATATTGAAAATAAAATAAATAGCAAACGGTTTGAAAATGAAAGTCAGAACTGTGACGGCAAACAAACATCAGTCAATCAGTAGCACATTGATAATGGTAAAGAAGTTTATTATGTATTAGATTAAAAGCCTTTACCATTTTGTTTGTGCGGTGGCTGGCATTTGAATGTTTAAACGCATTTTGAATTATGTGCTTGAGTAAAATTTAATTGTGATTTTATATAATGTGCAATTACTGAATATTTCCTCCAAATTTTAAAATAATGTTTAAAATAAAGTGTTTTCTAACTATAAAAGGCATATTTTCAAAAGTATACTAACAGTTTTAAAAGTATATTAAAATTTACTTTAGTCAACACAAAAACAATGCTTCCACTTCAGAAGGTTAAGAAGATCAATATTTGGTGGAATAACCCAGATTTTTTTCAATTGAAAATGTGTTTTATTCTGATCAATTTGTCATTTTTTTTTATAAAAAAAATATTAAAAATAAAAATCTGATGTAAAAAAAATATGTTTAAAAGCGCCAAAATTCAGTTACTTTGAATCAGTTGTTCATGATTTGTTTTTTTGCCCACTGAAGCTAAGCAGGGTTAAGTATCTGGATGGGAGACCACATGGGAAAGCTAGGTTGCTGCCGGAAGTGGTGTTAGTGAGGCCAGCAGGGGGCGCTCAACCTGTAATCTGTGTGTCCTAATGCCCCAGTATAGCGACGGGGCCGCTATACTGCTCAGTGAGTGCAGTCTTTCGGATAAGACGTTAAACCGAGGTCCTGACTCTCTGTGGTTGTTAACAATCCCAGGATTTCCTCCCAAAAAAAATAAATAAATAAATAAATAAAACAAAAAGAGTAGGGGTCTCACCCCGGCATCCATGTTTAAAGTCTGTGTACTAACATTAAAACTTCTCAACTTGCGGAGGTGACTGAGGCGCTGACTTGCCTTCTTATAAACAGCCTCTACATCAGGGGTCACCAAACTTGTTCCTAAAGGGCCGGTGTCCTGCAGATTTGAACGCCAAACCGTAATCAAACACACCTGAACAAGCTAATCAAGCTCTTACTAGGTATACTTGAAACACCCAGGCAGGTGTGTTGAGGCAAGTTGGAGCTAAACCTTGCAAGGACACCGGCCCTCCAGGACTGAGATTGGTGATCCCTGCTCTACATCAGAGGTCTCAAACTGGATTCCTGGAGGGCCACAGCTCTGCACAGTTTTGCTCCAACCCTAATCAAACCCAGCTGATCAGACTAATCAAGGTGTTCAAGACTACTAGAGACTGGAGTTGGAGGTGGTTGGAGTAAAACTATGCAGAGCTGCGGCCCTCCAAGAATTGAGTTTGAAATCACTGCTCTACATTACTATCAAAATTCAGTTTATTGTCAATAATTGTGCCTAAATATTTAAAAAAATTGATACCTGCTCTACTATTTTTACATTTATGATGGTTTAAATAATCTAGTATCAACTGCTCTTATTTGACTTCCCAGACATAGTTCTTTTGTTTTTCCAATATTAAAATTTAATGAACTTTTACATTTGGTTTTTGACAAAGAGAGAGTGAAACAAGCTTGAGATCCTCTGATTTTGGAGACACAACAGAAGGTCATATTTAGTGGACGCAGCAGTATAGAAGCAGCAGCAGTTTCTCAGATACAGTCACTTGAGCACAACCAACAATGTCAACAGAGGACACACTGTAGTTTCAGACCGCGGTAAAGTTAGTTTTACTTTCGACATTCATTAGACATTCGATTTTCAAATCAATTAAACTCTTTGTTCCTGTTATACTTTGGGCCAAAAATAGGTCAGATAGGCATAAATATGTGCCCTTTATGTTGCACAAGGCTTAATTTCTCGATTAAAAAAAAATAAAAAATTACCATAAAAATGAATTAAACAATTCAACCATATGGAATTATACAATAAAACTAGCACCAGAATATTCAGAAAAACATCCTGCATATTGCACAAGACTCTGTTTTTTGAATTAGCACTCTATTTATTTTATAATATTTTTTAAATATCTTTTAATGTAAAAATTGCAAAATTCAATTAAACTCTGACACCATTTGAAATAAAATATTCAAATCAACTGTACAATTGTCTAAATATTATTCTCTATGATGCACAAGCTTTGTTTTTTACAGTTATGCCTTTGTTGATTTTATATACAGTATTGAATCCATATTTTCGGTATATCGAATATACTGTAAATCTCTTAATGAATTAAACTCTGACACCTCTTGAAATTAAATATTCAAATCAACTGTACAATTGTCTAAATATTATTCTGAATGATGCAAAAGCTTTGCTTTTTTACAGTTATGCCTTTATTGATTTTATATACAGTAATAAATCCATATTTTATGTATATCGAATATACAGTAAATCTCTTAATGAATTAAACTCTCACACTATTTGAGATAAAATATTCAAATTAACTGTACAATTGTCTAAATATTATTCTCTATGATGCACAAGCTTTGTTTTTTACAGTTATGCCTTTGTTAATTTTATATACAGTATTGAATCCATATTTTCAGTATATTGAATACACTGTAAACCCCTTAATGAATTAAACTCTGACACCATTTGAGATAAAATATTCAAATCAACTGTGCAATTGTCTAAATATTATTGTCTTTCATGCACAAGCTTTGTTTTTTACAATTATACCTTTATTGATTTTATATACAGTAATAAATCCATATTTTTAGTATATCGAATATACAGCAAATCTCTTAATGAATTAAACTCTGACACCATTTGAGATAAAATATTCAAATCAACTGTTCAAGTGTCTAAATATTATTCTGAATGATGCACAAGCTTTGTTTTTTACAATTATACCTTTATTGATTTTATATACAATAATAAATCCATATTTTTAGTATATCGAATATAGTATAACTCTCTTAATGAATTAAACTTTGACACCATTTGACATATAATATTCAAATCAACTGTACAATTGTCTAAATATTATTGTGAATGATGCACAAGCTTTGTTTTATACAGTTATACCTTTATTGATTTTATATACAGTAATAAATCCATATTTTATGTATATCGAATATACAGTAAATCTCTTAATGAATTAAACTCTCACACTATTTGAGATAAAATATT